TTTGGGATGTTTAGATTTTGATGAATCAGATTTTGTAATAGATCCATGTTCCATCTGAAAATTTTCAGCCAGCTCTATTCATGACAAAGAGAAGACAAAAGTTACGTGTCTGATATGTCCCTATGCCAAGTCCCCCCATTACCACCCATTTTTACTCAGTTGTACTTTTCCGCTGACTTTTAACTTGAGCGGCTACTGTGATTTCTGAGGCCCCTACATTGTTGATCATAGGTGTCGTAATAGAGATACTCCATACCACCCTGCTTGATAAACTGAAACAAATCTCCCAAAAGGGAAAGGTTTCTTGTCCATAGGCGTGTATTTTGGTTTTGTCAGACACAGAAAAATAAGGAAAATAATTTAAACTTCATCATATCTAGGGCCCTGAATTCAGAAAACTTCCAGGTTACTGAAACTTAAGTATGTGCTAAAATGCCTTCCCAATTCCAGACTACAAAAACCCTGTCACTGTAGTGAATCCACTTCCCTAAGAGGCAGTAGCTCGGTTGATAGAAGAATTCTTCCGTTGGCTTAGCACTGTCTACACCATGGATTAGGTTGTATTAACTATGTTGCTCAGGGGTGTGAATTTTTCACAACCCTAAATGATGTAACTGGATCGGCCTAACATTTTAGTGTGGACCTGCCCTTAGATTTAGAGGTGGCAGGAAAGCAAGGTCGACAGGGGACAGGTAAAAAGCTTTCCCGTTATTCCCCCTGTTTTTTCATTGATTTTTTCAAAATTTCCCAAGCAGCGATAGCAATGATTGGAAGCTGGACACGATTTTTTTTTTTAAATTTAAAATGTTACTGTGGTTATCTCATGTGTTTGCGTCAACATTTCAAAATCCTGACCAGCTGTAGCCAGAGAGACACTAAGGCCCATATCCACAAAGAAAACGTAGGCATTGCAAGGTTGAGTGGTGCAACACCTAACTCTTAAACCCCTAGCCACCCAGCGAAATCCACAAAAGCTGAGTTAGGTGACCAGGCTCCCTCCGATGCATAGGGAGAGACAGCCCCTAAGAATGGGATCCACAAAAGCCACCATGCTAGGCAGGGAACCACCGTAGTTAGCCAATATCAGATGCGAAGGAGAGGGGTGTATTCTAAGCCCCAATATCAGATGCCAAGGAGACAAGTGCATCCTAAACCCCACATCTCTCAGGGAGTTAGGCTCCTTAATCTAGGCTGGAGGGAGGCATGTATTTCTGTGAATCTTTCCTAGAGTCACAGGCCTACGCTACTTCTTCCAAGAATGGTGTTGTTCCACACCTAATTCTACAGAAAATGCCCTGTGGCAGGGGGAGAGAGGAGGAAGCTTCCCTTATAACCTGTAACCCCGTGGTTAGGAAACTCCCTCAGGATGTGGGGGACTGTGGTTCAATCCCCCCCTCTCCCAGATGAGGAGAAGGCATTTCAACAAGGGTTTCCCTCCTTCCCAGGTGAGGGCCCTAAGCACTGGACTCTAGGATGTTCTGATGTGGGGTCTCTCCATCTCTCCCATTGAAGCTGTTCCTCTGTGTGGCTATAGAATTAAATATGCATTGGGCCAAAGAGATAGTGAGAGTGACTGTATAACCTAGACGTTAGGGGCACTCACCTGAGAAATGGACAATCCATGCTCAAATCCCTTCTCCTCATGAGGCTAGCCCACAGGCCCTGCCCCTTCCTCCTGAGGCCCCACAGCCAGAGAAATCCTAGACCATCTGCTCCAGCCGCACTGGCTGCCCCTACCCCCCAGTGTCAGGCCAAGCTACCAGCTCCCCCAGCCCCCGGCCGGCCCTCCCAGCCTCAGGCCAGCCCCAGCGCTGCACCAGGCCGCTAGCCTGACCCTACCCAGGCTGGTCCCAAGTGCCTGACTCCCCCCTTACCAGGCCTGTGTGAGTTAAGGTTGCCAACTTTCTACTGGCACTTCAAAAGACTTATATTGAGATGTGTGAGACGGTGGGGGTCTATCGAACATTCATAGGCCTTTGTATCAATACATTTTATACGTGTTTGTGTGTTCCCGGCTTTCTGACTGAGATTCTTTTGGAATCCAAACACACTAAGAGGTTATTAATGCCAAATCCTAATGCTGGTTATGCAGTTACCTGGCCTTTGAAGCTTCCCCCCCGGGCAAAGGTGAAGTAACTGGTTTTACTTGTTTCAGGATAGCTGGGAAACAAAGGCCCCACAAACTGTATAGAAGTGTCAGCTTAAACTGACTGAGAGGGCCCTCATTTGGATCCAACCAACTGCCAGGAACCTTTAACCAAGATGGCAACCCCTGCTCCAGGGTATGAAGGACTAGATCCTGTCAAGGTCTCCAGGTGCTAGGTGCACTTGGTAAGCTGAAGCAAGCGTATAGACTGTCAATTGTTTTGCACGTTTTCTCTGGAAGGCTTTTGTCCTTAAATATCTGTGATGGCTTCCTGGTCTCTGGTAAACCACTGTCATAGTCCTTGAAAGAGAGAGATCCAGATTGCAGGTGCTACAGGATAATGGCGGTGAACTGCAGGGGGACTGCATGCCAAACCATGGTCTGGAGGGACAGAGTCGCAAGACTCTGCCTAATGAGAGGTGACAGCAGGACCCCTGAGACCTAAGCAGGGCCATCCTTAGGCATAAGCAGCATACAAGGCTGCGTAGGGCACCTGAAAATTTGGGGCACCACTGGGTCTTAATGCCCACCCTTCCGTGTCTTCCTATTTCTGTTCTGACCCTTCCTGCAGGCTCCCACAGCTGGCTGCTGCAGTGTGGTGAGCCCTCCTCTGGAGGGGATCTAGTAACTTAAAAGTGAAAAAGCCTCCAGCCTGCCCGACCTATTAGCACAACATTGAAACTGTTAAAGAGTCATTCAAGTGGTAATGAACCTATTTAACAGGCATTTGCCAACCTCCAGGTATATACTGTCAGTTTCTAAGGCCTTGGCTACACTCG